GTTTTGAGCAACTTGGTCTGGTGCAGGGAGAAGCCTACACGGATAGGGGGGGGAGGGAGCGAGTTCCAGACCACGGGGGCAGCGGAGGAGAATGAGCGAGCTCCTGCCGAGCGCAGGCTGACCAGGAGCTTCGATAGAAAGCCGTTTAAGCGCCGCGCTGTCCTCGGAAGGAAGGGGGGCCCCTTGGGATCTCGCTGCGCATCTCCGTAATTGACCCATCAGGAGAACGTGCCCGGTGCAGCCGTTTGCTCGTTTTTGACCGGCGCGTGTCCTTATAGATTTTGTGCTAAACCTGTATTTGAAAAGATTAGCTTTTGAATATAGTGCACCTCCATTTTTATTTGAGAAATGCATTCTTCACACTGTTGAAATGTTATTCTGTTTAAAAAAAGAAGATTCTCCACCACAGTGTTGTTCCAATTGTGGTATGGATGCCATGCTCAAAGGCAAAGTCTATTCGAAACTCTGGCAGAGCAGTGCGGCCTTCGAGTTATAGAACAGCCCACAGAAGCAAATATCACAGAGCCACCGCTGAGAGCCACACTTTCCCACTCACCCTGCCGCTGAGAGCTGTTTAGATTCAAACCCAGGAGCTCAGCGGCACCGGCTCAGGGCTCTTGATTTCTGAGCCACATAGCCACCTCGTTGCGACGTTTTCATTTAATATGGCCATTTAAAATCGGTTCTAGCTAAAGGATTGAATTTCGCAGTCACCCCTAAACACATCCCAGTTGATGACATCATTGCCCAGGTTGATGTAGCCCTCAAAGGTTTGGGACACATTACTGCAGATGTGGCAAGATCGGAAATTGCTACAATCCTAAAAAACTGACACCTATTGAGCGCTTTGAGCTTTCTCAATTAAAAAGAGAGATGACATCGTCATCCTCTCAGCCGACAAGGGCAATGCCACAGTCATCGTGGACAAAACCACATACAATAACAAAATTCAGGACCTACTTAATGATGGTAGCTATACTAAAATGAAAAGAGATCCCACCAACAGCCTCGTTATGAAAACCAACAATATCATCACCGATGCGACATCTTTAATCGAACCAACCAAGCGGTTTTCCTTAAAACCCTCTGCTGCTCGATCACCCAGATTGTATGGCTTACCAAAAATCCATAAAGAAGGTACATCACTTCGTCCTATCGTCTCCACCATTGACTCACCCACCTACACACTGGCCCGATTTCTGTCTGAGACCACCTCAGCTGTACTTAACTCAGCTCTCAGCTCACCTAGTATCGTTAATTAAGGACATCTCACTATCTCCAGGTGATTTGCTCGTTAGTTTCGATGTGGTCTCTTTGTTTACCAAAGTTCCTGTGCCTGACACCATTGCAATCATTGAAGATTTGGTCCAACAAGGACTGAATGCTGATGTACCGGCCCTGGTGAGACACTGCCTCACCAACACTTACTTCACCTGGATTGGAACTTTCTACAAACAAGTTGAAGGAACTCCAATGGGTTCTCCCTTATCTCCAGTTGTAGCCAATGTTTTCATGGAAAATTTTGAGACAGATGCCATCCAAGCATCCACTCTACATCCGTCCTTGTGGAAGAGGTACGTAGATGACACGTTCATCATCTGGCCACATGGCCGACCAGCTCCGAACCAATTCCTCAACCACATCAATTCCATACACCCAGCCATCAAATTCACCATGGAGGTGGAAAAGGACAGCAAGCTACCATTCTTGGATGCTCTAATCGAAAAGAGACCAGATGGCTCAATGGGACACTATCTACAGGAAAGCCATTCATACGGATGCATATCTAAAACCTGACTCCCACCACCATCCTTCCCAGAAGAATTCCCTCATCAAAACCATAGAGCTCGATGTATTTCCGACCATCACCACTTAGCCAGTGAACTGGAACACGTACACCAAGCTCTCAAGATGAATGGATATTCAGACTACACAATCTGTAAAGTTATCACCTCAACCGCTGGGAAAGAACCATCTGAGGACCCAATCAAAACCATCACCTTGCCATACATAGCAGGGGTCACCAAAAAGATTTCCAAAATCATGAGCAAACACAAGATCCAGGTTCGATTTAACACAGTACATAAAATTTGTGATCTGATCCCATCTGTGAAAGATGTAATCCCTGACATGCAATACCCTGGCATCTACAAACTAAGCTGTGTCTGCGGCAGTAGTTACATTGATCATTCTTTTAATGCGGTGGGCTCACACGATATTGATTCTCTAAGACGAAGGTACTTTCCAAGCCCACTGGCTATCAACAAAGATTCGTTCATGCAGCCATCCATATATACAGACACAATTTCAACCGAGAAGATGGGTACAAACTGAGCAATCATTGGAAGGACGTTATAAACCAGTTTAAATCATAACTAGCTGTGATGTTCCCATCGTATCACCTTCCGATGTTAGTTGCGCTTTATGCCCATTTCAAACTTGAGCGTTCACAGGATTCACACCAACACAGTCACTTTGCGCGCCGACTACTGCTCGGTTGCGGCTTTACGATTTGCCTTTAACATGCTAATCTCTGATTAACATGCTAATTTTTACATGGCAGCCCTTTGATTGATTGAAGACCAACCACCGTCAGGTTGGCTGCCCACCACTTGCATTAACATTGACGGCTGACTTTTGGGCTACGCCCATTTCAAAACCTTATAAACAGTTTGCCTTTGGAAGCTTACCCTCCTTTTTCCTGAAGACGACCGCTTGTGTTGCGATCGAAACGTCGTAGTTTTTGTTTTTGTTATTTTGTTTGAACCTATCTACGTGACTTTACTGAAAGACCCAAATAATATGACCATTTACTTTACATTTTCAGAGACGTTACAATACATCTGTGACGGTGTGCGGAGATGGAATGTTTTGTTTTTCACCTTCCATAGCGCCAGATTTACAGTTGACGGGGACCCATCAAATATTTCGAGCTTTCTGGAGTGTGCATCAAGTCCGGTGAATACAAAATTGTATAAAAAATGGACTGTTCGTTCAAATCAAACATTCTTGGAAAGGAGAGACACAGCCATTCTACAAAATGCAGGCTGGCTGCTTTTCGTTCCATATAAAACAGACAAAATTACAACACTTTTGTCCGTGCATCATGCGAAAACGCTCGAACATGCGCGCGTCTGCCGGCAGATATTCCGCGCACGGGTGGCAGCTTAGCGTGGCACACGCATGTGCGTAGAGCACAGTGGGACGTTAATTCTCCAAACTACGAACGCGAATTTTCAAAGCGAGCTCTCACGGAACCCGGCGTCAATTAATTTCGAGAAGCATTCATAAAAACGATCCAAGCTTGGTAATGGAGCACGGTTCACGACCGCAGCGCACGAGCGGAGCTGAGTGAAGGAAATTGCTCGACGCAGTCGGTGAACGATCGCAGTCAGCACCACGTGTTTGTTAGGATTGCTCGCTGCGAATGTTGTGAACGTGGCTGAGAGGTGACGCGGGTCAAAGCCTCCCGCGCGGAGACGGTATTCCGGAAACATGGCGACAGGAGAGATTTTGGTTTTCTGCTTGACAACATGGTTCTCGGCGGGACAAAAAAAGCTTTTTCCAAGCGGTGTGCGTGTGTGCGATCGTGTGTGGGGAGCGGAGGTGTCGTGGTTAGCGCGCTGCGCTACGAACCCGCCGACCCGGGTTCGATTCCCGCTCACGGTGAGCACCAGTCACGATTGTCTAAACCGGTCCTGGGCCTCCCCTAGATCGACTCAGCCTCAAATGAGTACCTGGTGTGTAAACATCGTCGATAGGGTGACAAAAGTGGCCGGGCATGGTGTTGGCTACCCACCCCCTCGTGTGCTCGCCCACAGCACCTGCCCTAGAAGTCTGTTAAGGCTATACGGAGGATCTTTGTTTTTGTGTCGCACTGTCCAGCCGTGGCATTGTCACTTGTGTTGGCCGTTCAGCCCTTTTCAACCGGGCGGCGGCCGTGGTGGTGGTGAGTACGCACGTGGCTGCCTGGTGTCGACAGATGTAGCGAATTTCCCTTCCTGTGGGCGTGGAGGAGGTGCTGTACTCTGGCTAGCCAGCAGAATGTAGTACAACAAAGTGTGGACTAATATCATCTGTCTCCACTGTAGAGTGTTGCCCCCTCACATTCGTGGGTTTTTTCATGGTGCTCCGGTTTCCTCCCGGCTCTGTAATTAAACACTCACCAAAACATTAAGATTTTTTCAGCCAACTGCAGGACAATTTTTGGTGCCGGCTCACCGCCTGGCAAACTTCCAGCTTGTCTGTGCTTCCTCAGCGATTGTGAGATTGCAATTTGCCAGAAGTACACAAATATATAAAACTAATCATGGAATTATTATTTTTGACAGTTGCCCCGAGGTACAGAGACAATCCGCGCCTTCCTGGAAGCAATTCCGGTGTTTGATGATGGCGGCAATGTTTTGAGCTTGGGATGCTCTGAGAGTGCTTTATTCTTTCATTTTGTATTCTGTGCATACAGTATTCGTGTCTGCTCTCGTGTCCCACGACACTGCACGTCCCGGGCTGTTTCCGCGGTGATTTTATCACTAGTCACAACGAGTGAACGTGGTGCACGCCCGTCGGAAAAGTTAATTTTGGAGTGCTCATAGCTTTACACAAAATAAAATAACTCGACAACAGATTGCAGCCTTTTCGTCAATGCAATGTGGTGTTGGGAGTCGTTTAATTATGCTTCACCCACGCTTGTCATTGTGGGTTCTTGAAGATGGGACGGCCCATCACCGGTTCGGACACCGTTCGCTGCTGATTTTAGCCACCGGAAGAATTCGAACTCGCTTTGCCAGGTTCACAGCGCAGTGCACCAACCAACGCGCCACCGCTCTCCCATTTTTAACTAAAACTGCACTTTAAAATAACACTTTAAAGTGCAAATGATTTCAGCGTAGTACAGCGCATGCCTTCCATCAAAGCAGAGTCGCTTTTGTTCACCCTGTGAGTGACCGAGCAACGATCGGCTAACCGCCCCTCTTTGATGTGCTCCTGCTATTGTCGTGCAGGATGGGCTGCTCACCCCTCACGCTGCCTCCTGCACTTGTGCCTCCTGCTGCGATGACATGTCCCTGGTGAGTGCGTGTGCGCGCGCGTGCATGTATGTGCGTGTGTGCATGTGTGCGTGCGTCTGTGTGTGTGTGTGTGTATTTGCGTCTTTGTATGTGTTCGCATTCCTGCGTGTATGCATGAATGCGTGTGTGTGCATGTGCGTGCGTGCGTGTGCGCGCCCGCGTGCGTGTGGTGCAAGTGCATTCCCCACTTTGTCCCACTTTGTCCTGTTTGCCGGGCCATGGTGTGTGCGGGTCTGTCTGCACTTATTCACACACTCAGTCAAGCCCCCCCCCCCCCACCACGCTGCATCCATTTTGGCTGCTGCTGGTTTTATTCACCGTACAATTTTTATTGCCCCCCCTCCCCCACACCCCCTCGCCCCAGGTTTTACCATTGGTGTTACGTCATAAAACACAAAAGCCATTTGGATTTCTCGAACAGCAGTGCAAACCCCCGAGAACAGCCCACAGAAGTGGATATCCCAGTGCTACCTCTGAGATCCAGAGAGTAGGGGCAATACCTTCCCACTTGCCCTGCCGCTGAGAGTAATGTTCGTTGTATGACAGTCAAACCAATAATTATCGAAGAGCTAGACTATATCTTAATTAAGTGCAGAAGCAAATTTAATGTGATGAGATTTTTTTGTGCAGTCATTGATGATGGGGCTGGAACTATTAATTCCATACACTTGACATCCCGGTTTAAGCACAAGCAATGACCTGATTTGTAACACAGGATCTCAGCAGTGCCGGCCATGATCTCTGTTCTTTAAGGCACTTGTTAAAAACGAACATGAGCCTGGCGCGCCGGTTTATGGAAAAGAAGAGCGCTTAAAGAGTTTCACTGTAATCCCAAAAACCCCTACGACGCGGCGTTGAGGGCTTATGCCGTGGCCCTCTCTCGCCCGGCACCTCCTGACTCACGCTGCCTTCCTGCTGGTGGTCAGCGAGGCCCCTGCCACTGCTATCCACACCGCCACCGCCGCCGCGCGATTGGCTGTTTATTTCCACGAGGCCGGGCCGAGTGGAGGATGCCGGGCGATCCCGGTGAAACGGAGCGCATTGTCGTCGCACGGACATGATCGGATACGTCTGAACTGACCATTTGCTTGTTTGTGATTTGGACATTGATTCATTGACATTTTTTACCATCGATGCGAGAAGTCTCTTTTCCAAGAGTGACTTGGGTCAACAAGTAACAAGACTCACGCTCATATTTCAGACCTGGGATGCAGAGCTAAGAGGCCTACAAATGGCGTTCGATTATTACTCCTTTGCATTGAACCAGCTGAATCAAATTCCCATCCTGCTCACGTTCACTAAAAGTCAAAATTAAATAGATTTTTTGCTCATGTAAGCACTGAGGCTGTATTCAACGCCTGTTGAAAGCCCTGAGCCAGTGGTGGAAATGGCGGTGGTGAGTCTATCCATCGAATGACCACTGTTGATTCTGAAAAACAGGGGTTACTCATATTTATGAATCCCGTGAATCTCATTTTGTCAACCCTGCAAAGATGATGGGCTGAGTTACCCCCCCCCCCCCGTCCCGCGACCAGGGTTTGTGCTCACAACCTTCTGCTTGTGAGGCGCCCGCTCTCTCGCTTAGCCTCATTGTCCACTGCTCCTTGTTATCGCCACTCGCCAGCATTTGGCCTCTTTCGGCTGCGATATGAATTGGCCGTTGACATTTGAATTCCGAATGTCACATTCCATGCCTGGCGGTAGAAATAAATAAATATAAACCTACAACTATTGGATGCACCATAAGGGCATGTACAAATTAATAACCGTGGGAATGTGATAGAAAGAATGAACGTTGATTTTACGAGTTGCGGTAATTAGCGTGACAATGAGCACAGGGGTTCAAAGTGAGCGTGTCTGCAGCGGCATTTAGTGTGCACCACGTCGGTGATTGGGGCACCTGAAGAGGAGCGCAATCAGGGGGTCATTCACCGCCGCGGGGACCGTGGCCCCCACCGCATGCTGCGACGATCGCGTTTCGCTCGGTGGAATTTTGCGCCCTCGATTCGTGTGCGTTTTGTGACTGCGGTTTCTCTGCCCGCGTTCGGCGTTGCCGTGGGAACGCCGCAGTGGCCGATCGTGACCGTTTGCGGATCGCGCGGTTACCCCTCCGCCGACGCAATCGCACGGACGTACGGACACACGCTGAAAACCCGACGGCGTTTACCTCCGCGCCGGTTTTCCGCGGTCGTGCCATAGAGCTCTTAGGTGCACTTTCAGGTTGCTCCGCGTGTCGCTCGCAACAATGTCTTCGGTTTCTGCAGAAGTTCGCAGCAACATGGCGAGAAACGTTGGACAACCACACGCGGTGCAACCTGAAAACGCATTCAATCGCTGGAGGATATTTAAATGCGAAGGCTTCGTCAGCCATTGTTATTATTCACCATTGATTTTTGAGTAAAGCCATGCAATGATTATCCGACAAAATCAGTGTCGTGAAGGTCCTCACCCACCCGACACAGCCAAACAGATGAATTGCCACGTGGCATACAAGCGTTCCACGTGCCAGTCACTATTGATTCAGCTCGCCTACCGGTAAGTTCGAGGAGAATCCTCACATCCAAATGTGCCAATTGGATGCGACGTGTCGTTTAATCATCACGCGGCCTAACCCCGAAATCAATCGTGCGTGGTGTTTCTCTCCTCACCCCAACCCTGGGCTCCCTCGGAGGTGCAGTCGGGCCCCGTGCGGCTCTTCGTGCCGTACAAGCGCCGAAAGAAGGACACGGAGCTCTCCCACCACAGAAAGGACGGCTCCAAGAACATCGCCGTCTTCCCCGCCACTCCCACCTGTCGGGTCCCTCGGCCCCCCCCCCCCCCCCCCAATCGACACTGCCGCTGCGTTTCCACTCTCGGTTTCTCGTTCATTTCCATCCCAGAAGGGACTTCCGGCTCAAATGAGCCCAGATCCCTTTTATGCCCCTGAGCCGGTGGCGTAAAAATTCCACAATCCTATCCATAGGACAACCACTGTCGACGTTCTCACAAAGTGATATCTATTTTATCAAGTCCAGAGGGATGATGGGCCAAGTTGACCTCCCAACCCGGATTTTAACTCTCAATCTTGCGATTGTGAGTCACTCGCAGTGCCACTGAGCCACCTGTATTTATATATATTATTACACCTGTTTTTAGTCACGGACGTTACTGTTAATCGTCCTTGCAGGGATGTTTTTCCTAAATACTCATGATTATTCGGCATTCTTTCCTTGAATCGCGAGGCATGCCTAGGGATTGATTTGGTAATTATACGCGTGCGTTGCATTCTTTTACACAAATTAGTGTGTGCGCTAATCCCTTAATCATGAAAGGACCTTTGTATGTTCCAACAAACAGTGCTTATGCACGGTTAGACACAGTTCAGTATTGTTCTCGTGACTTTAATATGCACAAAGCAAACAAATCAAGGTAATAGTGCAGATCGTATAAGATTATTGCTGATGCCGTGGGTGTGTGTGTGTGTTCGCTTTAACATTTCCGTGGGGAGCGGTAGTGCAGCGGTTAGCGTGCTGTGCTACGAACTCAGCGAGTTAGGTTCCCGCTCATGGACAGCATCGGTGACGAATATCTGAAAGGGTCTTGGGCCTCCCCGAGATCGACTCAACCTCAATTGAGTACCTGGGGCGATGTGTAGTAAACACCGCTACTAGGGAACAAAGGCAGCCGAGCGCGTTGCTGGCCACCCACCCCCTCTTGTGGTGTGCTGGCCTTCGTAGGTGCTCGCTAACAGCACTTGCCCCGACAGTATGTTGAGCTATAGGGGGGATCTTTATCTTTATAGCTTTAGACTTAGGTTTAAAAGACGGTCAGAAGGAAAACACGATGATTCATCATCATATTTGTACCGTCAGAAATTGAACGTAACATTTAAAAGCGTGGCCACTTTGTGAAGATTCCCTGAATGTTAATATATTGAAAGGGGATTCATCGGAAATGTTAATGATGCGCCTGCCGACGACCGAGAGACACGCGAGGTAAGAAGGCGTCCTGCTTCAGTCGCTCCGTAATTCTCTCGTTACGCAATTAAGAGCCCTCAGCTCCCGGAGTGGAAATGTCGCACATCCTAGTGCTGCCGATTTAACGAGGCCACAAACTTTTTACTTTCATATCACGGTTGCTGAGCTGAGTACAGGTCCGAAGGCATGACACGTCAAGTGGCCAGCAACAAACGGCATGATTGAGAGTTCCACATAGATAAGAGTTGTTGTTGGCATTCCTTGCATCGAGCAAGGTTATAAGAACTTGGGGAAAAGCGACAGTGGGAGGGAATCAAAAGGCATTCCAAAGTGAAGCGGTGCGAGGGTAGAATCAGAAAGGAAAGTGTTGTGATCTGCAGTGTGGTGGGTGAGCGAGTGGGTGAGTGTGTTGTTGTGACCTGCAGTCCATTGGTTGACCAGTGAGTTTGGTAGATTGAGTCCTCAACACGGGTGGACGATTCAATGAGTGAAGTTCATGGGGACAGTAACCATGGCAGTAGCGATAGAATAGTAATGATGTAGGAATTGGATGCTAAACCCCAGATATGACATCATCAGGATTCCACGGGAGTACGAGTTTGTGCTTTGTACAGCAGCGGTAATGGTTGTTTACCGTTAAAGACAAAGGCTTTGTCACCGAGAAGAATAGCCCAGGCTTCTCCAGTCCCTCCTGAGCCAGAGTGGCGGTGCGGTGATGCCACCACAAGACTGGAGGAAACAAACTGGTGAGCCCGACCGCTCTCCCGAACCCCTGTGCGCGAACGTGTGCACGTGGTCGTGTGCGCGTGCCCAGACGGCGTGGCGTCGACGGGCGCGCTTGACGGCTCTCCCCCCGAGCTCCTGCCCTTTGAGCGCGGTGGCGGCGTCGGGGAGCACCTCGCCGCGGGCCCCGCGCTCCTCGCCGACCCCACCGGCCCCGCCGCGGACGTGTACGGCACCTCGGCCGGTGAGCGTCGCGGGCGGCGTGCATCGCCGTCGTTTGTTCTAAATATTGATAATAACGCTGATGACGATACCTGCACTTATGTTGAATCTGCCAGGGCGCGAATCGTATCAGAGCCGAGGGGACCACCTCATGGCAGCTTGTCCTTTGTGTGGCACGGGGTGGCGGGGCACTGGTCTGCAAAGTGGGTTGGATTCCGCCCCCAGGGGGCGATGGTTGTGATGCGTAATCCCAATTGATAACGCACGTCACGTGAGTGCGAAGCAGGTCCTCAAGAGCCAGCGGAGTCGAAGGAGCTGGATTGAGCAGAGTACTGAAGGCAGGTAGCAGCAGCAGCACGGCAATGTTATTGGTTATTTATTGTCGAAGACAACCGATAACATTGTGCACACTGGAGTGCTTGATAAAGCAACACAAAGGAGCACTCATGTTTAGGGACATCATTGTGTGCTTCGGATCCACTACATTCCATGCACGGTTTTGAAGGGTGAGTGATCGGACGTGCTCTTAACTGGCATTACACTTCCAGAGGGAATCGTATGGTCAGAGCGGTCATGCGGGTAGCATCAGTGCGTGTCGTTGGGCGCGATGTCCGCGTGTTTTTTCGGCGAGCAACGGGCGGCACAACCCGAAAACCCTCGTCGGAGCGCCGCGCAGCGCAACCACGGAGACCGACGCAGCAGTACTCACTTTATCCACCTGGCGGGATGATGGACCGAGACGACCCCCGACCTGTCGCCCTCCACATATTTGTCGCGGTACCCTTCCACGAAGCAAGACACCTCTGTCTTGCTTCGTGCCCCATTGTTCCTCCACATTTAGCCAAGCAAGTATTTTGTTACTGTGCAGACAATTATAATAATTGGCTCTTTCTCCGCGTCCAATTTGCTTACCAATTGATTCACCCCAAAGTCTGCCGTCGGCTTTGTGATCCCGAGGGTCGGTGTCTGCAGTGGGAGATTGCGCCGATCTCTACCTGGATGTGGCTGCGGTGGAGCCTGCCTTGGTTTTTTTCCCCTACGGATAAATTCACGGCATATCTTGGAGAATCTGCGATATGTCCCTGTGGTTTACGTGAGCGGTGGGTGCCGCAACCCTTACCGACTCGCGGGGCATCGTCGGCCGTCGACAAATGTTCACGGACCACACTGCACCATTAGCATATTTGTATAACTTAAAACGACTCTAATCGCCGTGCGAAGTGTTCATTAAAAAGCCATAAAAATCAGTAGATTCAGTCAATAGCCAGCTGGGTTGATGAGTCGTGAATAAAATAACCACGGTAATGGTGATGACGATTTGTGTTTAACGTCGCGCGATAGGACCTCCTTTGCCAGTACCAAAATATGAGAATAGGTTTTCCCCTTTTTTTTGGCAACAAAACAGGTGTTAAGATGTCAAAACACCAAACTGAAGCCTTTCTACAAGGAATCATGTCTGCATGGAATCATGTCTGCATTAACCACAATACTTGTGTTTGCATTCTGACCACAAGTATTGTGGTTAATGCAGACATGATTCCTTCCTTGTAAAAGGTTTCAGTTTGGTGTTTTAACATCTTAACACCTGTTTTGTTATTCTTAGCTCTTTTGGTGAAGTCACGTTGAAGGGAAACAATAAAATAATAATAATATATATAAAACAATAAAAATTCTCACAACGTTTCGACCATAACACAAACGGTCATCATCAGGTGTGAAAACCAACGGCAAGAAACATTTGAAAGAAGTGGCGGTCCGCATTTAATTATTTATTTTTTGGACAGTGTTTGTGTTTATTTCTTTTTTTTTAAACGTTAGCACCACAGGCAGCGATTTGGCAGTTTGTTTAGAAGGATGAGTCCACCTATGTTCTGAAAAGAGGAGGGGGGAGACGAAAAATGTATGTATGCTGTCTGAAAGCCACCGTAAGCATGAACAATCAATTAAGACCTGAAATGGTTTATCAAATCCTTCCAATGATTGCTAAGCCAGAATCCATCTTCTCGGTTGAAATTGTCTCTGTGTTTTTATATGTGAATAGCCTCATGAACGAATCTCTCATGGTAGCCAGATGGCTTACAAAGAACCTCTGTCTTGGAGAAGTCAATGTCATGTGAGCCTACTGAATTATAACAATGATCTGCCACGGCCGAGGTGTTGGTCCTACCGTGTTTAAGGTCTGCTTTGTGTTCACGAATGCGGTCCGAGACATGGCGTTTGGTTTCTGTTTTGTTGCCAGAAAAAAGGGGAAAACCTCTTCTCGTAGCGCGATAGGTGACTTACATCGCATCTCATTCAAAACATTTGAAAGGGCACCCACAGTGGCAGCTCTCCCTGTGTGAACAAGGCAATCGGGCATTAGTGTGGCAGTAGGGGGAGATGATTGCTCCTGTTTGCGTCATCCCAATTGATTAGTTTGAGTACAATCTAAATAGCTATGCAATTGGCAGTAAAAAATAGATGGTGTTTTTTGAGAAAAACATCGTACAGTGAGGGAAAAAGTATTTGATCCCCTGCTGATTTTGTACGTTTGCCCACTGACAAAGAAATGATCAGTCTATAATTTTAATGGTAGGTTCATTTGAACAGTGAGAGACGAATAACAACAAAAATCCGGAAAAACGCATGTCAAAAATGTTATAAATTGATTTGCATTTTAGTGAGGGAAATAAGTATTTGACCCCTCTGCAAAACATGACTTAGTACTTGGTGGCAAAACCCTTGTTGGCAATCACAGAGGTCAGACGTTTCTTGTAGTTGGCCACCAGGTTTGCACATATCTCAGGAGGGATTTTGTCCCACTCCTCTTTGCAGATCTTCTCCAAGTCAATAAGGTTTCAAGGGTGACGTTTGGCAACTCGAACCTTCAGCTCCCTCCACAGATTTTCTATGGGATTAAGGTCTGGAAACTGGCTAGGCCACTCCAGGACCTTAATGTGCTTCTTCTTGAGCCACTCCTTTGTTGCCTTGACCGTGTGTTTTTGGTCATTGTCATGCTGGAATACCCATCCACGACCCATTTTCAATGCCCTGGCTGAGGGAAGGAGGTTCTCACCCAAGATTTGATGGTACATGGCCCTGTCCATCGTCTCTTTGATGCATTGAAGTTGTCCTGTCCCCTTAGCAGAAAAACACCCCCAAAGCATAATGTTTCCACCTCCATGTTTGACGTTGGGGATAGTGTTCTTGGGGTCATAGCCAGCATTCCTCCTCCTCTAAACACGGTGAGTTGAGTTGATGCCAAAGAGCTCCATTTTGGTCTCATCTGACCACAACACTTTCACCCAGTTGTCCTCTGAATCATTCAGATGTTCATTGGCAATCTTCAGACGGGCATGTATATGTGCTTTCTTGAGCAGGGGGACCTTGCGGACGCTGCAGGATTTCAGTCCGTCACGGGGTAGTGTGTTACCAATTGTTTTCTTGGTGACTATGGTCCCAGCTGCTTTGATATCATTGACAAGATCCTCCCGTGTAGTTCTGGGCTGATTCCTCACCGTTCTAATGATCATTGCAACTCCACGAGGTGAGATCTTGCATGGAGCCCCAGGCCGAGGGAGATTGACAGTTATTTTGTGTTTCTTCCATTTGCGAATAATCGCACCAACTGTTGTCACCTTCTCATCAACCTGCTTGGCAATGGTCTTGTAGCCCATTCCAGCCTTGTGTAGGTCTACAATCTTGTCCCTGACATCCTTGGAGAGCTCTTTGGTCTTGGCCATGGTGGAGAGTTTGGAATCTGATTGATTGATTGCTTCTGTGGACAGGTGCCTTGTATACAGGTAACAAGCTGAGATTAGGAGCACTCCCTTTAAGAGTGTGCTCCTAATCTCAGCTCGTTACCTGTATAAAAGACACCTGGGAGCCAGAAATCTTTCTGATTGAGAGAGGGTCAAATAGTTATTTCCCTCATTAAAATGCAAATCAATTGTTAACATTTTTGACATGCGTTTTTCTGGATTTTGTTGTTGTTATTCTGTCTCTCACTGTTCAAATAAACCTACCATTAAAATTATAGACTGATCATTTCTTTGTCAGTGGGCCAACGTACAAAATCAGCAGGGGATCAAATACTTTTTTCCTTACTGTATATCCAACTGTTCCCACGGAAATGTTGGCCTCAGCTGGGAACCGCTGGGCTGGAGTACGAAGGATGATATGTCAATAAAAGCCACTGTGCCCGACTGTTAACCATATTTTAAAGCTCGTTGACATAAATTACTTTTTATGACCTCGTAATACCTTCCTACGTTGCATTAATCATATAGAGATGCAGTAGAAGATATGCAGGCAGAGACCCTGCATAATGGGCTTACTTCACAGAGTACATATTATTATGAAAGCAGTGAACTCGACCGCATTTTACACAGGAGGTGCCCTGCCCCCGGGCACCTTGGCGCTCGTTCGGGGCCGACGAGCACCGTCGCCCCTGTAATCGTCGCGGTCATCGTTGGCGCGGTGATTAGACAGCGCCACGAGGCGAGACGCGACCTCGATGGCGAGGTGGTGCCTCCCGTGGTGGGGACGTCGCTCCAGCGGCAAGGCCCGTCGAGATTTGCCCAGCGCGGAGGCCAATTGTACTCTGACGAGGATTGTTGTGCGGCCCCGTTGACGTGACGCTCGTGTCGCCCGGCGCCGAGGTGGAACTCAAGCCTCTTGCTGACGGAGGCTGTCAGGGACGTGTGACGGCGTGAGCCCCGCGCCACAGCCCGCAGGGTGTTTTATTATTTTTCCAGCTGGGTAGCTAAGGTCTTGATGTTTGTGACGGAGCTCGTGCCATTTCCAGTCACGAGGTTGCTAATTGCCGATAGGCTTGGCGCAGCTGCCGACATCTCGCGTTCGATCACAGACACGGCAGGCGGTGTCCGTGGGATGTTCACCCCGTGGTTAGTGCGCTGCCATAAAAATGTAAAGGCGCAGGAGTGCAACTTGCTGACGCCACTGCTGGCGGAAGGGGCCTCCACGAGTGGAAGCTCTGTAGAGCCTCTCTTACGGATACTTGGGTCTACTCGATCACACTGG